TGGGCTGCGGCGGGACCTGCGGCCCCTGGCCATGGAGCCGCAGGTGGGGCTGCCGGGGAAGGGGGGGACCCGCGGGCTGGTGAGGGCCACCCGCGGCCAGCAGCGCTAGAGGAAGGACCAGCCGAGCCCCTGACAGGTGTCTCCGCCGTAAGTGCCCTTACGCGGTCCCTCGAGGACTGACAGACTTTGCGTTTGCTATTGCTGCTGCTGCTATCTTCAAAGATGATGTTGGCGGAGCAAGCCCAAAAGTGGTTCCCAACTCACGTGCAAGTTACGGTCCTTCAAGCCAAAGGTCTGAAGCCAAAAGGTAAAAATGGCAGCAACGATGCCTACACCATCATACAGCTGGGCAAGGAGAAGTACTCCACCTCGGTGGCTGAGAAGACGCTGGATCCCGTCTGGAAGGAAGAGGCCTCCTTCGAGCTCCCTGGACTACTCATGCAGGAGAATCCAGAGAAATACATCCTGTACCTGATTGTCATGCACAGGTCGCTGGTGGGGCTGGACAGGTTTTTGGGACAGGTAGCCATAAGTCTGAATGACATATTTGAAGACAAGCAAAGGCGGAAAACAGAGTAAGTGATGGTTGGTTTTTTTCATTATAGTTTGTATTCCTTAGACAGTTGCACTTGGGGAGGGTGGGAAATAGTAGCCTTACCATGAACATAAGTACTTTGAAATGAAATTAGTATGTTTCTGTCATTGATTCTGTGTTCAAATCTCTTAACCTATACAGTTATGTCATTGTGGCCTAACCTCTTCCAGAGAAGTTTACTGTAATCAAAGTGCTGACTGTGCACAGTGAAGGACTGTCAATAACATTAAGTTTTCTGACAAACTCATGTGTGTAACATGAACTCATTACAGTCTGTTTTTCTAAGCATTTTTCTTTGTTCTGCACAGGGCCATACCTCTATTCGTCTCCTACCTCAGTTTGAACCATGCGTGAGATGGTTCAGAAGCCCTGAAACCTTGTGTGGTTCTCTTTAAAATTGTTTTCCTTCAGTTGCTTCAACCACGTGGCTTTAAATATTTTATATTTATGTTTTAGTGGTCAATGAACTGTGACTTAATGAAGGCTTACCACAACAGCACAGTGCTTTGCTGGTCTTGATTAATCTTAGGCCATGATCTCACAGGCTGCACTGAACAGCAGGCCTCCGCTGAGAAGGCTGAGGTAGCTTCCATCACTACCTACATAAGCCTTTGTCAAATAAAATAGTGTTTGCCAAGAATTTCAGGCACTGGAATGCAAAAAAAGGAATTAAAAAAAAAGAGGCATCATAGCAGTTTATGAAGTTGAACTGTTCTTTTCTAATTCTCTCAGTTTTTCAACTACATCAGTAAAGTTGACAAGACATGGTTGCACAAAGGTGTTTGTACCAGCGTAATTTATCCTCCAGTTGTATGTGTAACTCAGACTGGAGGTTATGAGAGTACTGCAGGCATGTCCATGACTCCATGCTTTGGTTTTGGTGTGGATATGTTTGTCCCACAGAAATTGAATCAGAACAGCTTGGAGACCTCCAAGTGAGCTGTGTTGGCAGTGACATGAACGCTGACAGATCTGTCTGCAGTGGTTAAAAAGTTCCTGCTCCAGGTGCCTTTCCTCCTCTAGTGTCTCTTCAGATGAGTACAAAGGCTCCTGTGCCCAAATCTCAGCTGTTGAAATTAAAGTCTGGTATCCATAGTGATGGTGGGTCTGTGGTGAGGTGCTGGGCTTGGCATCCAAGCCACAAAAAGACTGCTGTCACTTGTCTGTCTGTGACTGAGCTGGGCTTGGACCTCCAGCAGCACTGGCAGTTGGAGGTGGAAATCCACATGGTTAACACCAGGCAGGGCTTCTTGGTCAGACAACTGTTTCTGCTGAAACCACCTCAAAACCTGGTCCTGCTTAAATGCATGGCTGAGGTTGAACAGCACCAAAGGCAAGTCAAAGCTCTCTTTGCCGTGGTGTTTGTTTTTGTAAACTGAATTTTTTGCAAAACAGTATGTTCACAAACCGTATGACAGGAAAGAAGAAGCCTGTGTAGAATCTCTTGTGGGTTCACTGCCTGGAGTATTACACTTTTTAATTGCTTACCTTTTTAGGGATAAACCAGTTATCTTGATGCAATACATGGTGATGCCTATAGCCTTAGGGTCTTAATTTCTGTTAACAATTGATTCAAGAAGTTTCACTGCTCTTTAGACATGTATCTTAAAAATTCTTGACTCATTAGTTGTAATTATCTTGCAAGTCAGTAGTCAACTGCCTTGGTTGCAACACCTAGCAACAAGGTGAAAAACAAAGTGAATGAATGAGAGAGGAACACTACAAATAGTAAGACTGTATATCTAGAACGAATTATGTGTTCAGAAGCTGGACTAAAATATTCCATTATTACTGTAAGTAACAAAACTTATTTTCCCCAGAAGAAGAAACAGAAGCTCCTGCACCAGGTTTAGCAAAAGTAGTACTAGAGTCAGTCTTGCAAAATTATTCCAGAAATTTTTAAGTGGGCTAAGTAACAGTCCTTGTGATAGTTAAACAAACATTCAGATCTGCAGTATTTTTATAAGGAGTTATGCTTAGCAGGGCTCCATAGGTGTTCTTTATTTTCTCATTTCTCTCTCTGAAGTGTGAGAGAGGAACTCCTGCTATGTAGCTGTGGAGCAGTTCCTCCCAGAGCATGGCTGAAATCACCGGGAATGCCGCACGCTGCCTGCGAGCTCTGCTGCACAAGATGGGGGCCTGTGGGGAAAGTTTTACAAACAGCCTGAGTCCTTTCTTCAGAAGTTACTTGAGCATTTAAGATTGCAAATCTTATTAAAAGTTGATGGGTGTTAGGCTTCCAGGGCCGAACAGCCGTACTTGTAAAAGTCTTATGTAAGTGTAAAAGTGCGGCTGGGCGGCAAGTGGGATTTTTGGCAGCGCGTTCGCGCGTAATGCTGATTTAAATTCTTATGAGGAAGGAGCCACTGAAAGTCCCTTGGTGTCTTTAGGTGCTTAGAAACCTCAAAAATGTCCTTTCTAAAACTCACTTTCAAAAAAACCGTAACTCTGAGTTCTTACGTTTGGATGTTTTTGAGAAGTTTTTGTGGTTGTGTGCCCTCGTGCCACGCGGGTGTGTCGTGGCTGTCTCCTTGAAGCACTCATTGGAGATTTGGATGCAGTATTTGTGTGTGTGTGGGACGAGGGCAAACCTTCAAGGATAGATTTATGAATGCAATCTCAAACAAAATGCTCTTTTCCCCCCCTCTTTATTAAATCTTTTTTGATAGAAAATGTTCCTATTCCTGTGTTGGCAGTAAACTAAGGGTAATATATTTGGACCTGAAGACCTTCTAACTGTGAGTATGGTGTGGGAACTGAGACACCCAGCACCTTTCAAAACCAAGTCCAATGTCTTTGTTACCAAAGCATACTGATGGTTGAAAGCTATATTCATTGTTTCAGAAACACTAATCTGTTTTATTAAGCAATGTTTTTACTTTCAAATATGTTCAACAGGCTTGTGCTGTTATTAAATCCAGAGTTATTTTCTTATGTTGATGTAACCTTAACATTTCTTGCTTTGTTTGGGGATGAATGAGATCCAGTTATTTGATGAAGTGTCTATTGGTAATATTTCTACTTTTTAATATATTTAATAGCTTCCTCTTTCCAACACAGCTGTACATATGGTGCTGTAAGAGACAGACTCAAGAGTCACCAGGGTATTGCAAAAAAGATATTTAATATTCTGCACAATGCTGAACCCTGTCAGCAATTCCCTAGTGCTTTTTTAGTAAGGAGGTATGAGAAGTGAAGGCTACCAGCTGATTCTGAGTTCCTAGGAAGACCATGGGGTGTGTGACATTTGGCTTTTTACATATTTTTTTAATTTAATGTTTTATAATTTGGAAGAAATAAATTTCAAAAATCATTGGAGACTCAGGAACATTATGTTAGGGAATTTTTTTTTTTTCTGGAGCTTTTTTTGTGACTTGTCACATCTTAAGACAAATACTCCCTGCAGTAAAGTTTTCAGGCAGAGGCCTCATGATGGGATTTGTCTTGTGTTCTAAGAAACTTGCTCTGGCTCAAGACTTAATGAAACAATGTAGTCTCTTTACTATAACTTGATAGGGAAAATTTTGTACACAGCATCATATGATGTCCTTTTCCTCTCTGAAACTGATGATTTTTCAAATTCTTAAAAGTAAAAATTGCTGGAACAGTGAGATCCAGATGCAGCTCAGATGGTCCCTCACTAGATCTCTTCCAGAAACTTCATCCAAAGCATCTGCAGGATCCCAGTTCATTTTCTTTCTTTCCTAGTGCAGAAATGCCCATTGTACTGTGAAAGTTCATAAATTTGTGTCTCTGACATTGCTGCTGTAGTTGGAAATGGACAGGAGCTTTTTACTTCTCTTTTTACCAGAGCTGAAAACTAGGCTCCAGATGCTGAAAGATTTTACTGAGCTTTTTTAACACTTCAAAAAGCTTTGGAAAAACTGCTTTAATGGAAGTGTATTTAGCATAAGTTTTCAAATGTTACGTTTCTGACATGGCTTTTATTTTTTGCAATAACATCGCGTGGGTTTTTTAATTCATCCTAGGAAATACATGGCAGTTGTTTCCGTCTGCTCTTGAAAAATAAATATACCTCTTCTACTCTTCCATTTGAAATGTAAATTATGATCAATGACGTATTGTTTTAAAACATAGATGCTTTTTTGTAATAATTTCAATTCAGTTATAATTCATAGTTGCCTTAATGCTGCTCATATTCTGATTGCATAGCATCAAAACAAATTGTTGAGTTCCACGAAATAAAAAAATACTAATTTTCTGACATGTCTTAATTTACTGAAGCATTTTTCAATTGTTTTTTACAATGACTCTTACCTTTCCCAATGATATTTATTTCCTCTGCTTTTGCTTCATCCTTGTTACCCTCTAATTCCACTCTGTTTATTGTCCATTCCTTCATGAGCTTTCCTGGACGTCTCATTTTATTGTATGTTCGGCTGATTTAAGATGTAACACTTGTTTGGAATGCTATAAATTTGAGAAGGCAGGTGATGTAGAGTTATTATTTCTTATGGACATGGTGGAGGAGACATCTTTTATTTGTGATTTAGTTCCTCTTCTCCCTGGGGTCTGTAATACCTCAACATCACTCCCCTCCACACACACACAAATTGCAGCACTTGTAAAAAAAATGCTTGCTTGAGCATAATACAGTGAAGGAATCTTGGCCTTTTCTAAAGATACTTCTCAGCTTCTGTTGATCATAAAAAAAGTCAAAACCAGCTTCTCAGCAAGCAAACAAAAAGAAGTCATAGTTGACCATGATCAGTACCCCTGTGTGGTAGGCACTGACTTTAGTGCTGCTGAGCTTCCTGGAAGATATGCAAATGATCTGACTTTTTCCAAATTAATGTGAATTCTTTCTTGGCAGCCTCTGTCTTGGATATAAACTCCCTCTTCAGCTGCCTCTGCTCTGTCCTGTCTCTCATCTGTAGCAGCATAAGCAGGAGGGAGGCTTCAAATGCATCTGGAATTATGAACAAGCAAACAACTAGTAAATAGATAATATATGGGCTC